ATCTACATTATTGATTTACATAATTCGTATTACGCTACTAAATAAATAAATACTAATAAATAAATATACTAAATATACTAAAATATACTAAATAACTATACTAATAAAATAAATACAAATAAGAATAAAATAAAATAAAATAATAAGAAATTATGAAAGTGGAGGAAACCCATGGTAACACCATAAATCATACAAAGTCAGAATTGTTTACAATTAATGTGACAAAATCAAAAGAATAAAAGGTATCAATAGAATTTGAAAAACAAAAAATTATAGATGTGAAAAAAACAGGAGCAATCTAATTTCTAGGAATTTACATATAACATAACAAAAATAAAATACATCAAGCTAAACTAATTATAAACAAAGTTTCAGATATTTGTAATATTATCTAAAGAAAGTGATTAACAGACAAAGAAACTCGTTACATTATTAATCATGTGATTTTCTCCAAAATTGAATATCTAATGTAAAACTTAATGATTACAGATGGGCTCAAGAATAAAATTAATTTTAAATACTTCACTGCTTTAAAGTACAAAGTAGGATTTGCTCAAACTGTTATTAACAGTATATGTACTACAAAATTAGGATATGAATTATATAACACATACTATAGATATGTACAACAACATATCAACACCTTTAGCACAAGAATTAATGACCAGTTAATAATGGAAGCCATAACAAGAATCAGGTTACAAACAGTACAAAATCAGTTATGGACTTCAAATTTAATTTTAAATGGAAATATCATGAAAGAACAAATAATTTCACATCAGAATTTAATACTAGACATATTAATGTTAGCAAAACAATATGAAATAGAATGGTCCACATCAAGTATCTCATCAAAAATTATCACCACTCTCATAGGAGGAAAGGTACACATCTTTCAATTTTGAGACAATAATATTAAAAAATACGTTAACCTATTAAAATAGCTATAACAATATAAAATAGCTTTTCTCAAATAACTTTTGAACTTTAACTATGACCTAATGAACTGGAAATACCTTTAGACAAAAATTAAAAATGGTAAAGGAATATCACCTAAATGGTATAAATATATAAAAACATATTTCTTAATCAATCTCTCATATATCCAAAACCTTCGAAACAAATACAAATAATATCAAACCTAATACAATTAGAAATACAACCTGAACAACTCTAAGATAAAGGATGGATTGCTTTAAAAAACTATACAAATGAGATAATATTTGAAAAAATAGCTAAAACCCAATGCAACAATAAAAAAAAACTCATGATCAACAATCTCGAAGATATATTATTCATTATTCAGAACATCTAAATGGAGAGAAACAACTCACACATTAAAACCTTATTCAAGATATTATATGAAAGACAAAAGCATCTCAGATAAAAAAACAAAGTGTCTAATTAATTATAAAAATATGGCAAATTTAATAATGAAATATATAACGGTACAACTAACCAAAAGACAATCTCAAGATTATGAACCAATGTTAAAACAATATCGAATAATAAATCCAAGAACAGAATTAATATCCAAATTACAATATAGAGACTCTATAATAAAAAACAGTACATTACAAACTAGTGAAAGAAACAATATATCAATGATCAAAACAATAAAAGAATCACATAATATTATTGATAAAGTTTTTATCACCACAACAGAAACAAACCTTAAACTGAAACAAATTTGATCTGAACTAACAAGAATAAATCTAGCTAAAATAACCTTTTATACAGATGACTCATTTAACAACAAATATATTATAAGTCAAATGTACATAGGGTGGCTCATAACAGATCCAGTTATATTACCAGTACAATACTTTGTTGCAGACACTAACTCATATCCATCTTTTATTAAAGCTAAACTAATGGCCATACTGATAACTCTGACAGTGGTACCATAAGAAATAGAAATAACCATAAACACAGATAGTAAAGAAACAATCTGTATAATTAATGACTACCTTCAAGGAGATTAATCAAAAACCCTGCACAATTAGACTACCTTTCAATTATACAAATAATTAAACAATAATAAATCAACTTCAATTAAAATTCAAACTTACAAAAGTGGATACCTACTTGACTAACTTAAATAACAACATAGTAGATAATCTAGTCAAGATAACAGAACACAACTGGTTGAATTTTGACAAACTGAAAATCAATTGGAAATATATCAACATCCTAGCTATTCCAACACTTAAGAACAAAATCATAAAGGAACCTATCAAAAAAGCCATTCAGGCAATTAATCGTACAACAGTTTTTTATAAATGAAGAATACAAAATCATACATCAAATTCAATCTCTGAGAGAAAATCACATACTATAAACTGGTACCTTACACAAAAAACAAATCATACATCTGCGTTATACCAAAATCTCAACTCATTTGAAGATACTAGACAATGGTTATTTAAACTCTGGTTGCAAAACAATGAACTTCCAACACTAGACAAACTCCATCAACACCATCTACAAATTTATATCACAAATAGATATCCATTCTGTAATCAAGAAAAAGAAACAAACATACATGTGTTCACATGCTCAGCATTAGAGAAACCATATACATCAGAAAATTTAATTAGGCATAAATTTATGGAAATATCACATGATTTATGTGAAATTTATGCCTAAAAAATTTAATTTTTTAACTTCAGCTGAGATTTAGGTGACAGGGAGTGATTTTCTACTAAGATATTTCTAAGATAGATCAAAAATCTAATTTTTGACTACATGATGATATATGTTTCATTACTATGGCATCGATATTCGTGGAGAAATTCACGTTTAAATTCAAACGTCTGTGAAAATTTATACTGTAATTTTTCCATAA